GCTTTTCCCCCCCCTGCTCCGCCGGGATCATGACGAACTTCACCCAGAAGTGCTGGGGGCGGAGCAACGGGGAGCGCATCTACGACGCGCTGCGCCTGCCGGCCCTCAAGGCGCACTTCGGCTGGCGGCCCTACGAGGAGCGGGAGAAGAAGGCCTTCTTTGTTCGCCAGCTGCTGTGGGAGCTGCTCTCGGTGGAGACCCGGCCGGAGGTGGGCGAGCTCGCGAAGCATCTCACCTCCCTCACGCTACGACGCATGGCGTTTGAGATGGTCTTTTTACAGTCGATGGATTACATCCATCGCGTGCAGGTCGTGTACGAAAAGTTGGGGAGGCCGACTGTGAGTGAACTACGCTCGCTCAACTTGTTATAGGGGGGGGGGGGAGGGGATATACGCTAGACCTCTTCCTTTCCCATACATATCGAATTCAATGGAAAAAAAAAATCATTTAGGGCAACACCACCAACAACAACGACAAAAACGCAGAAAATTAACCCTGATGTCAAAGATTTTTAGTTCACATAAGGATAAATGAAAAGGCACGATTCCCTCGCGAAATGACACGCAAAAACTAATATTAGTAATATTAGTAGTGCTATATGTTTCCACGAGAGACACCTCCTTCATAATTATTCGAGTTGATATGTGTAGTTTATTCCTTGCCTATTGAGGATCCAAGAGAGATTCTCACAGAAACCCTTAATGACTTTGTAGGACTCAGTGTGCTTTTTCATTAGCAGTTCAATGGTATCTCTTCTATTCATTTTTAACTTTTATTATTATTAAAAAAATATAAAACCAAACCCTAAGCAATCTAACCCAACAAGCTCCAACTTCTAAGGGAGTACGTTTTCACCTTCTGAAAGAAAAGAGGACAACGACCAAAGGGTGATCCACACCAATGTCGAGCAGTCCTCCAAGCTTTCCAAGTTCGTTTCGAGAGCGCTTTAGCTCGACCAAGCGTCTAGCTGCCATTATTGTTTACCCACGCGAGTGCACGGGCATCGTTCTCAAGGCACTGCGGGGTATGCTTTTCGCGCAGCGCGGGGTGCGTAGCGTAGTAAACATCAACCTTCCCCAAGGACTGTTAGAGGGGAAAACGACAACGACCGATAGCTCTGAGTGTACAGGAGAAAAAATGGAGAAAGTAAAAGAGGCCAGGTTGTTTCTCCTTGATCCCGTCATGTTTCCCGTATCACAGTGGCAGTCCTTGCCGTTTTCGTCGTCTGGGGAGGTTTTGCCGGAGCTATTTTCTCTGCCGCTTTCCCCCGAAGAGAACAAGGCGGAGCGTTTAACGCTTCCGCGAAATCTGTTGGATAGGCTGAACAGCGCCGCTAGCGAATGCGATGGAGCTCAGAGACTTTATGTAGGGACCACAACGTACGATATGACGCTTTCCTATGCAAACTACACGATGCCAGAGATTTTGAGCACGATTTTTTCCTCCACCCCTGTCGATTCTCCTTCTAGTGAAGGGACCCTTGCTAATTCTTCCGTTGCGCATCCGGCCGGGGAAAAGGCGAAGGAGGAGTTGACGGCGCTGAGCGGTTTTGAGCAGGTCGGGCATATCGCCCACGTCAACCTCTCAAAGGCTCATGCGGGGTTTAAATTTATCATCGGTCAAGTTATTTTGGATTGCAATCCTACCGTAACGGTAGTGGTGAATAAGCTAGACGCGATTTCAAGCGTCTACCGCGAGTTCGCGATGGAGGTGATCGCGGTGCGCGACAATGCCTCCACGAATTTATCACCAACGCCTTCTTCCTCCATGGTTAATAGCGTTTCCGAGAGTGCGGAGGAATTAAATAAGCTCCTGACGGCGACGGTCCGGCAGCACGGGTGCGTTTTTCGCGTTCCGTACAATCGAGTTTACTGGAATTCGCGGCTTAGTCATGAGCACACACGCCTAGTAAACAGTTTTCACCCAGGAGAAATTCTTTATGATGTGATGGCAGGGGTAGGACCCTTTGCTATTCCCGCGGCTCGGAATGGTGTCGTCGTTTATGCGAACGATCTCAATCCCGCAGCTTCGGAGTTTATGAAGATTAACGCAAAGCTTAACCATATTAAAGAGTTTGCGAAAGATGATGAAAAGGACTCCACTGCGGGAATACGGATTTTCAACATGGATGGGAGGGAATTCTTGAAAAGTGTGGTTTACCGTAGTGTGATGCCGGCGAAAGACCAGCTATCGCATCCTGATGGGGCTCATGGGACGTGTAGTATTTCTCCTCCTCGACGGCGACATGTTGTGATGAATTTACCCGCCCTAGCGGTTGAGTTTTTGGATGTTTTCTCGCTCACGAATGTGGAAAGCCCATGGTCGCAGCGACCCAAAGACGGTACGACGGACTCTGCGGACTGGAATTTAACGATTCACGTATATTGCTTTTCCTCCGCGCCCGATGTTTTGACGGATGCCGTACAGCAGGTTGAGCATCATTTGGGGTTTTCGCTTCCGGAGGAAAATAAAAAATCGGTGCTTATGGTGCGCGATGTGGCGCCGTCTAAGCGCATGGTTTGCGTGAGCTTTACCCTGCCTTCTTTTTTCTCGCAAAGTCGAACGGCAACGGTGGCTCCTTTAAGCTTGCAGCCTAATACTAACGCGAAAGACGTCAATGTCGTCGAGCAAGAGGGGGAAAATCTTTCAAAGATACGTAAATTGGAGTCATGATGAGATAAGGGAAGAAAAAGAGAAAAGGAGAGGGATAATTTCAGCTTTGTCACTCCCTTTTTCTTCTTCCTGGAGACTTGACAGCAGTCAAAAGATCCCATCACTAAGTCCTCTGGAAAGGAAATTGAGGGTGAGGGGGGTGTAAATCTAACTACAAGTCTCTCATTTTGTTATAAATTTGCAATGAGCACATTTGTATTTCCTTTTTTTCCTGAATTACATGATTTTTTTAAATTGCTTCATCGTAATCTGCATGAAAAAATGTTTGACTACGATGTAGCTCTTTAACATCCATGGTATAGTGTGGTGGTGCACCGCACTTTTATTTTTAAGAATATTATCATTTTTTTAGTATTCCCATCGGATTACTTCTTTTTTATTATTGTTGTTGTAAGGTGATCTCCAACTATTAAAACTATTTCCTTCCCTTCTTCACAGGTACAGTTAAAAATAGGTGCGATAAAGGATTAGCCTTACTATTACCATAGGAGGTATTATGAACGAGGAAGATTTAGATGGCATTGAGATTCTCCCGGATAATCCCGAGGAGCTTTTCGAGGAGTTGGAGAATGCCGGCACCGGGAACTTCGGGGTCGTGATCAAGGCGCGTAACCGCCAAACCAATGAAATCGTCGCGATCAAGCAGGTCCTCATGACGGATAAATCCGAGGTGGATAATATTCAGCGCGAGATTATCATTTTAAAGCGCTGCGTGCATGCGAATATTGTGCGCTACTACGGCACTTATCAATCCCTGGGCAAGCTGTGGATTGTGATGGAGTATTGCGAAGGCGGGTCGGTGGATTTGGTGTATAAATTACTTCGCCATCCACTCCCGGAAAAGCTCATCGCGTACGTCTGCCGTGAGGTGCTGCTCGCGTTGGAGTATTTGCACGCCAATCGTCGACTGCATCGCGATGTGAAAGGGAGTAATATTTTGCTTACGCAGGATGGGCATATAAAACTGGTGGATTTTGGCGTGAGTGTGGAGCTTTTGCATTCGATGGAGTGGCGGAATACTTTTATCGGCACGGTCTTGTGGATGGCACCGGAGGCGATTTTGGAAATGGACTACGGCGATCGTGCGGATTTGTGGAGTTTGGGGATTACACTGATTGAAATGGCGGAGAATGGGCCTCCGCATGCGGGAATGCACGTCGCGCGGGCCGTTTTTCAAATCCCCCGTGAGGATCCACCGGTGTTGAAGAAAAAAGATCAGTGGTCGCCCCAAATGAATTTTTTTTTAAAACGTCTTCTCGTGAAGGATAAGAACGCCCGCCCGGGGGCCTCGACGATGTTGCAGGATCCGTTTGTGCAGCCCGAGAACATCGGTACGGCGGAGCAAATGAAAGCTATTATCGATGAGATTCTCGAGAAGAAAAAGAGTACGAATTTAAATAATCTTCGCAGCGCAAACTTCTCGTCGAGCAGCTCCAACGCGACTTTTGTGCACGTTAGAGACGACCACAGCGATTCCGATGAGGAGAGCAATCCGAATAATATTAGCCATAACATTAGTAAACAACATGGTGGGTGTGGGATTGTAGGCGGGGAAAGCCACTCTCCTCGCCATCCCGATGCCGCGGCTCTTTCGGAGCTGGATGAAAAATATGCCTCGGCCACGATGGAGGGCCTTCTTCCGCTTCCTTTGCTTTCCGCCGAGGATTTGAGTTTTGACGAGCTCGCGTTGGCTGAGCTGAATTCGACCAAACCGCCTGCGGAGGAGGTGGAGGAGCTTTACGCGATGTTGGCCCCCGATGCCTACCGTGGTGGTGTGCGAAACACCGCCGCGATGGCGGGCGTGAAGCCGCCGGAGTTTATCCTTCAAACCACGCATACGCTCGCACAGGCCTATCGTTATCGACGAATGCTTCCCCAACGTCTGCGGACGATCGACATTGAGGAAAAGACGCGAACACAGCAGCTGATGGAAAAGTACGGTATTGCATTGAAAAATATCTACCGCATTTGATTATCATACTTCTTTTCTTCCCCCCCCAAAAGGATGGTAAATAAAACTAGAGAGCTAAGAGGGGTAAATGCTGGATGAAAAGGAACCACAATATGGGATTCATCTTATCCTTTTAAATTCATGTACGGACCGAATTTTATTCCTGTCTGTGTTCATTCTCCGACTCTAATGGGTTGCTCTTCCTGTATAAGTATATTTTTCCCTTTTTGAAAAATTTCTTCTTCTCACATCCGCGTATCGGTCTTGGCTTTTTTCGCAACTTCCTCCGTTGCAGAGCTCTCCTTGGAATGAATGGCCTTTCTGGGCTGTTGCCCACGCCAGGCCTTGGACTCTCAGGGCGGTCTTTAGCTCCACTTCACTGTTTTCCCTCCTTTTCTCCCTTATCTTTTAAGTAGCAGTTTTATATTGTAACCCCCCCCCTCTCCCTCCCTTTAAAAGAGGAAAATAATGATTTCTGAGCCAAACGTGGACGCCCTCAAGGCCGAAGCCCTTGCGCTCAATGAAAAGCGTGGGGAACTTCAACGGCAGGTCCAGGAGGCCCTGGATTTCCTCGACTCGACCCCGGCCGGACGGAGCGGGCTGCTGGTCGACCCAGAGGGCTTTCCGCGGGATGACTGCGACCTCTACGCCGTCAGCCGCGCGCGGAATGTCGTGAGCTGCGGTCGGAATGACCTCCGCGCGGTCGAGGAGCGGCTTTATGTCATTCTTGGGGACCTTCACGAGGCCACGAAGGTGGAAGCCGCCGCGCGGATGGCCGCGGACGATCCGGGGCTCCTCGCCAGCCGCGCAGAGGGAAAGGAGCTCGAGCGACGGCTCGCCGAGGCCTGCAAAATCGGGAGTATGCCGGGTATTTTTCACGTGATTTCCGTTGAAGGGGGTTGCCCCGCCGCGGAGGGGGGACTGCGCCCCCAAGATACGATCCTCCAGTTCGGTGAGTTGAACGCGGAGACCATCCAAGGGAGGGATGAAGAAGGAAGAGGGCTTCGGGCGTTGGCCGAGATTACTCAAGAGTGGGAGGGAAGGCTGCTGTCGGTATGGGTGCGTTCAGAAGATGAGGCGGAGCCACGGGAGATCTTTGTGGTTCCCCAGCGGTGGTCTGGGACTGGACTGCTGGGCTGCACTTTGAGTCCCTTCTAACATCTGTGTTAGGGTGGATAAAGGATGAAAAGGCAAGGGAAGAACGTTAAGGGAATGTATCAGAGAGATTGAAGTGTACGCGACAGCGATGTTTTTTTTGTTTCCTTTTTTGTTTTACATTTTATTTTATGGGTGAATTTAACCCTTTCTTCACACCCCTCCACCTTTTTCTCTCCTTCGCATAATCAGACTCTTGTACAACTATTTCATCATTTTTGAATTATATCTTGTGCGTCTTTATACATGGAATATACCCTAACATCCAGACCGCATCTTCCTTAGCCCATTATTTCACACATATTTATGATCAACTCTTTACTTTATGATCGATTAACCAGACAGATATAATTAGTGAAAGTCAACTGTAATGCGGTTTGCTTATCATTTTATCATTTCTCATCTTGACCCTTTTTATGTTCTTTCTCTATGTCCGGATGATAGGTTGCCTTTTGATGATGTAGTGCTAAATCATCAGATTTTTTTCCTCTTTCTGCTTCTTTTCACCAACTTCAGATTGAAGTGATAAGATGTAGTGTTTTATTATTAATCAAAGAAACCTTTCAGAATCATGGCTGTGATGAAGTTCTGCTCCCAGACGCTACCTTTATTAGCATACTCCCGAAGCCGATCACTATCCATTTTAAAACCAATGCTGCGGCGGTTTCTACGGACTCCTATGCAACTACAGGGCTTTTACCACACGAACAGCGGCAGCCACAACACACACAAAGGCCGCAAAATTAATGACTTTAGCGTTAATTCAAGTTCACGTAGGGTGTCGCCTCGTGGGTTGTTTCCATCAGATTCCAAACACAGTACGTTTCGCTCAGGTTCCACACCAACTTCTACCACTACCACGGAGGATAAGATTTTACTTAGCAACAAGTCTTCACCTACCACAGCAGCGAACTTTCTTTCTGATCCTGCTCATTCGACCTCACTTTTAGATCCCTTGTGCACTTTGGAAGCTTTATCTCAAGCACCCTTGGTCAATAACTCGTCTGTAGTACCCGAGCTGAGCCCTAAGGAGATCGCGTCTATGACAACAAAAGCGATTAAGCAGTTCGCTTTGAAGTGGCGCTGTCCTGAGTACTCTCCAGTAGGAGAAATGGATACGTCGGGACTTTTAGGGGGCCAGCAGGAGCGATTGTTACGAGAGCTCACGCGGCGCGGTGCTATTAAAGAGGTTTTAGAGTGCTCCGCCAACTGGCAGCGTCGTGGCCTTGTACACGACATGTTCTACGCCGATTCCAACACTTCTTCTTTATCATCGACTTCCAAGAATGGATCCAAAGACTTAAATGCAAGATCGAATATTTCCAAATTTGATTTTATCTCTTACATCCGTAATCTACTCTTCCCTCCTTTGTCTTTCTCACCTGAGTCTCTTCCAAACGCTACTGGAAGTGGGATATCTTCTACAGTCTTTGAGAGGGGCGGTGACGATACTATAGGAGATGCGTGGAAATACGCTCTTGAGCACTTTCCTCTGCTGTTTGCTCGATGCGTGCGGGATAGCTCCGCCGCGGAGAGATTTTTGCGAATGGTGGACCCTAAAACGGTTTATCAAACTGTCCTATCTCTTCTTTCCACCCTTGAAGGATTTACACCATGGCGGCAGCGGCGGCCAGTTGCTCAGGACTCTTCTCCGCTCGGCGGTCAAAAAGGGCCCGCCTACGCGACCCGCATGGATATTTCCGCTGAGGAAGAACTTATGAGAAATGTGGAGGTGATTTGGCGGGCAGTGGCAATGATACTGCGCACATTTCACCCTCAACTTATTCGTATGACGACCATGATGAAGGAGGATCTGCTGAAAAGTGTTCGGTTCGCCATTCAGAGCACCTATCAGTTTTCCAACATCCACACCTCACTCACCTTGACAGGACTACAGCAAAAACATGTAACTGGGGAAAGCCCTCAACGGAGAGAAATCTTTTCCAGGAAAACCAGCGCTGCCCTTCGCTCCGCTGTGGAGACGACCTGCTCGGCGCTCTTGCACAACGAGGCTCACGTGCGCCGCATGCAGCTTTTCACCTTCGCTTCGCTTTCCTTGCTCATCCTGAGTCTCGATCGCAGCCCGCCTAATGCGCTCGTACAGTGCATGTTTCTATGCCTCGCGGATGAGGGTGCTGCCCCTACCATACCGTCGCTTCAGCCGGGTTCTTCGAAACCTAGCGGGATGTTCGCCTTGTCCGAGGAGGGGGCGGAGCGGCGGCCTGGTAATTCACTCGCCCGCGCGGTTCTCGGCTTTCTTCAAGCCCGTCCGGAGCAGCGATGGGCACCTGCGTTGCGGCTTTTATTACACTCTCACCGCACCCGATCTTTTTTTGTGACCTCATCTCACCTCTGCAGCCTCCTGAGCGGGCTCCAGGGCTGCTCAAACCCGAACACTTGGCAACAGACGTTGCGCTGCGCCAGGTTCTTTTTGGAGAACTTCAATGTGCGGCCCGACGACGCCACGGCCTCTATCTTGGTTTCGAGTCTACAGCAGCATTCGTGGGAGCGCGCGTTCGACGTGCTTCGCTTTTACACCTCACCCGGCGACTTACCTTCGCCTTCGATTATGCACCGTCTCCACGTCATTGCGCGCGAGCACGGCGCCTCGCAGTCCGCGAAGCGGGCCCTCGATAGGTTCCTGTCGTGCTCGGACGATGCCCACGGCGGGAGCCTCCTGCCTCGTCTCCATCGTCTCTACGCCGCTGCCGCCGACGCCGAGGTCGAGGCTGGCCTGCGGGAGTTCTGGGCCATTCCGCAGGGGCTCAAAGGGGCAGCCCACAGTGCGTACATCGCCCGTCCCCTTAACGAGTTGCCCGTGGCGCTGTCAGGGGTGGCTTTTCTAGACCACGGCCACGCAGAGGCGGCGGCGCGCTTTGCGGGGGCGGTGTTAAACAGCACTGAGTCTCTTCCTGTTGACATGCTCACCCCGGTGGGCCGCTCGATGGCGGCTGCACTGCGGCTCCTCGGCCTGCTCGGCGCGGGCTGTCATACGGAACTGACTGCTCACCTCAACGCGCTGGCCTCGCACCCCACACCCTGGCCTGGGCCTGCGACTGAGCCTGAGCCTTCAACTGTGACTGGGCCTGAGCCTTCAACTGTGACTGGGCCTGAGCCTTCAACTGTGACTGAGCCTGCGACTGCAACTGTGACTGGGCCTGCAACTGCAACTGAGCCCAGGCTCCATGGTGTCATGGCAGACACGTTGCGGTTGCAGTCCCTGCTGGGCATGGGACACCTCCACAGGCCGCTCTGTTTGGTGTGCGATCACTTTGCCGGCGAGGGTGTGTACGAGCAGCTTGTGGAGGGATCAGGCGTAGCACAGGCAACAAGCATCATTAAGGGCAGGCGGCGAACCACGTTCATTCCAAATGCCCACCGGCGCAAGCAGCTCATGGCATTGGCAATCGCGTTGGGTGTCTTTGTCAGACAGACAGAGTTCTCCTTGTCAGCTGATGTGATACGAATCCTGTCTCAGAGCCTGGTTGCTGCTGGTGTGGGCTCTTCTTTTCTAAAGGCTTCATTATTGGAGGTGGAGCACACGGACCATGGTTTGTCCCCTCTTTCCAGTGATGGAAAGGGAAAACCAGGGGACTCGAGCCCTGATAATGTCTGCTGAAGGGTAACGGGATGGTTCCGTGTCGGCGCACCTCGATTTACATTGTAAATTTATTTTCTATCCGAGAGTAGGGGTGATGTGACGCGAGGGCTGACAAACATTTTAAAATTTACGTCACCATATAGTAATTTAATTTTTTTTTTCACAGACTTTGGATTTTCTATCTGTTATGGTGCATCTGTGTGTTCTTCCGGATACGCTATTATTTTTACATCATGTAAACACCTTCTCCCTCGTATCTTGTTTGGACCTCTGAGTGTGTAGGGTTAGGTTCCTTTCCCCCTCTTCCCCAACTGCTTTCTTTCCCTCGTTACAGACTTTTTAAAGTTTTGCGTAATCTTAAGGGATAGCAAAGGTAATACATTATCCTTTAACTACCGTTATTAATTATTTACTTTTGTTACCATGGAGACTAACGCGACGCTGATAGAGTGCTGTCGGAGCGATACCGGACAGCATGTCTTTTCTTTTCTTATCATGGGCGCGCCGAGCCCAAGTAGCCTTCCGAATTATGTAGCCTTTCTGCAGAGGCATCACGTGAAACACCTTGTACGAGCGTGCGGCCCGACCTACAATTCCCAGCTTGTTGAGGAGAGCGGTATTCAGGTTCATAGCCTGGGCTTCGATGACGGTGCTCCCCCCACACAGGCGGTGGTGAACAAATGGCTTGATCTCCTTTCACAGGAAGCAGGCCAAAGTCCCCCGCCGACAATAGCTGTCCATTGCGTCGCCGGCCTCGGCCGTGCCTCGATTCTCGTAGCACTGGCCCAGGTGGAATTTGGAAATATGGTTCCCCTAGATGCGATCGGGTACATCCGGGAGCGGCGAAAAGGTGCGATTAATCAGGTTCAGCTACATTGGTTGATGAGATACAAGCCGCGGTACCAGAGGTCTGAGAGTTCTTTAGCATGCACTAGTTGTTCAGTAGTATGAAAAAGGTGTAGAGTTCAAATATATTTCCCCTTGGCTTACTTATGAAGCTTTTATCACACATTCCGAAGAAGTATTCAGTTTGTTATTTGTATTGCTTTAATGTCCTTCCTCTTTATTTTTGAAGGCTTGTATATTTTAATGTTTATAACGTAGCAAACCTATTTTTCATCGGGCTTGATAATTCACCCTGAAAAATATTGTTCTTACACTTCTTCTTCTTAACACAATCATTTATGTCTGTGGCTGCTTTTGAAATGTTGCCAATAGTTCAGGTTTGCTCTTTTGCAAAGCGGAGTGTGATTTCTGTGGGTATGAATGTTTCTGAGAGGCATCATTTTTATTCCCTTTCAAGATATATACTTTAAAGAGGCTTGCTGTAGTACAGAGTCGCGTATACAAAATTTCAACTTCATCAAAACTTCAATAAACACTTGGAAACAGGTGCTGGGGAAGTAGGCAATCGTGCACAGGTACAACTTTCGGTCTTTGGTAGTAGTCAGAACGTGCTTTAGTGTTTGACGTGCCTGATTGACTTTAGCTGATAATAATTATAGCGATTACTTCTTTTTAAGGTTTGGAAGGGAGAGAAACAGGAGAGGGAGATTTTTCATTTTTTCTAACTGAAGCATGCAATCAGGTAGCGATGAGGAGGGCGAGTTGCCGTCCTGCAGCAATGCTCTGCGATTAAAGCGTATTCAAGAAAAAAAAGACAACCTACCAACCCTAGAGCGCCTTCTCAACGAGACAGACCCCAACGCGTTCACGGAGGAGCAATTGACGGCGGCCACACGTTTCGTGCGTGACCTTATATCCTCATCCCCCAACAACGACCAGGATATCGAGCGCACACAGCGCAAGCTTCAGAAGCAGTACCATCGTGTTTTCAAGAAGTCTCTTCTGCTGGAGGGCTACAAAAGGCTCATGACAGGTGAAAGGAGGGGTGCGGGGACGGACGACGGGAACGCGAACGCCGCGTTGGTTGACTTAGAAGATAACGCCGTGGGCTGCTCCGGAGGGACGCCCTCGGGGACCCACCGCTGCCGGCCGCTCGAGCGGTATCTCGTATCGAAAGCACCGCGCAGCCAATCCGGCGTTCTCGTCGTCACCGTCTTCACCTCGGCCTACCCTGATGGCCAGCGGTTTAGCTGCCAATGGGATTGCTTCTACTGCCCCAACGAACCCGGGCAACCTCGGAGTTATTTGTTGAATGAGCCCGGTGTTCGGCGCGCGAATTTGCTTGATTTCGACCCCTACCGCCAGTTTAGCGCTCGCGTGCACTCCCTGGTCGCGATCGGGCACCCCGCCGACAAGGTCGAGCTTCTGGTTCTCGGGGGGACCTGGGAGAGCTACCCGGAGTCGTACCGGACGCGCTTTATTCGCGACCTTTTCTACGCGGCGAACACGATCTTCGAGGACGTCATCGGCCCCCGCCGCCCGCCGATGGAGCTCCTGCAGGAGCAGCTTTTAAACGAGTCCGCGCGGTGTAAAATCATCGGGGTGACCCTGGAAACCCGCCCGGATACGGTGAATTTGGCGATGCTGCGGGAGCTTCGGCGATTCGGCTGCACGCGCGTCCAAATCGGCGTTCAGCACACCGACGATGGGATTTTGGACTACGTCAACCGCAAGGCCACCCGCGAGGACACCATACGAGCGATTAAGCTTTTAAAAGACAGCTGCTTTAAGGTGGATATTCACCTCATGCCCGACCTCCCGGGCTCCTCCCCGGACCTCGATCGGGCGATGTTCGACGACGTCCTGGACTCCCCGTATTTGCAGGCCGACCAGTGGAAGATTTACCCCTGCCAGACAACCCCAGCCACGACGATCGAGCGCTGGCATGCGGAGGGGCGCTATGAGCCTTACGGGCTGAACGCCCTGATGGAGGTGATTTTGTACGCCAAACGCCGCGTGCACCCGTGGATTCGCTTGAATCGCATTATTCGGGATATCCCGGTGGATTACGTCCTCGCCGGGGTCGAGGTCGCGAACCTTCGACAGCTCCTCGCGGACGAGCTGCGGAAACGCGGGGAGAGCTGCCGCTGTATTCGCTGCCGAGAGGTGAAGGGCGATAAACACGCCGGGGAGAAGCTCGCGCGGGCGGTGCTGAAAGAACGCCGCTACGCCGCGAGCGAGGGGATGGAGATCTTTTTGTCGATTGAGACCCCCGACGAGCGAACGATTTTTGGCTTTCTGCGGCTTCGTGTGGACATCCGGAACTGGGAGTGTCCTTTTGAGGAGCTGGAGGGCTGCGCGTTGGTGCGGGAGCTCCACGTCTACGGGATTTTAATCCCCACTTACGGCGACCACGTCGCGAGGACGGGCGGGGGGGGGGAGGGAAAGGCCCAACACGCGGGGGTTGGCGGCCGCCTGCTGGAGAGAGCGGAGGTCCTCGCGAAGGAGGCGGGGTATGACAAAATCGCGGTCATCAGCGGGGTGGGCGCGCGCGGCTACTACCGCCGGAAGGGCTACGAGTTGGTGATGCCGCAGTGCGGGAGTTTTATGATCAAACGCTTGGGTTCACCAAAGCGCGAGCGGGGACCGCTGCTGAGGTTGTCCGAACAACCTGCCATCCATCCAACAACGGAGAAAGGTGGGAGGGACGCGTGCACGCCGAAGCCTTCCGTCGCCGCGTACCTTCCACGTTTCCGAGATAAATGTGGCGAATGGTTAAGGTTTCTTTTAAAGCGCCCGCGTGGGGAGCACTGAGGGGGAGCCGATGCAGAAGGCCTGACGGATTACCGTATCTCTAGCCTTCCAGAAGTTGTTTTGAATCTTTTTTGTTTTTACATTTATCCATCTTTGTCTCAAAACCCTCAGTCACGCGAACGGGCTCACCGAACGAGTAAATAATACCCATAATTAAATATATTAAAGTTGATTTTTTTCAATTACTGTTTTTTACACATTCCTCTCCTAGGAAAAGGGTTCAACAACCCTTCACTTACCATGGATCACGCGTTCTTGTGCGAGTAGAAATAGGATTTTGTGTACTTTTTTGATCCCTAATAGGTGTCATCCCTTATTTTGGCGTGCCATCACTGCCGCATTTGCTTACGCGTTCTTTCTCTTCTTGTTGACCTCCATAATTTAAAACTAGAATCACAATCTTAGTTATCACTACAAATTTATGCGATATATTTGATTTTTTTTCAAGCTTGAATGAGAACACCCTGAAAGTGTTAATTGTCGAGTATTAAAACGAAAAGGGAGAGAAAAAAATTGTTTTGAAGTAGGACTTTTATTTTAATCCGCACCAGCAGAAAAAAAATAGAATTTTTGCCAATACACTACTTGAATGTGCCTTTTGATATAATAGGATTAACTATAATAGGAATATATCAAAGCAAACTGGCCCGATAAGCATTTTTTCACCTTACCTTTTGCTACCCTGAGCAAACACGATTCATTATTATTTTTTCAGATACGCTCTTTTCTTATTACACGAGGTCTTAATATACAACGCCACGGAAGGGTTTCGAGAAGGCATTAAACTTTGGCGTACAACCTGAAATAGGACACAAGGCCAGATTTCCCTAGTGCCATTTTCTTATCTTTTTTTTTTGTTCCATCCGATCAACCTTTCACTCAGCATTTCTTGCTCTTCCTCACCAAACCTTAAGAGGAGGTTCGATCTGGCTTTACACGAAACGCCTGTCTTCGTACGCGTTCACTACGAACAACCTAAAACGGCCCCGATTCCCAACTCAACGAAAATAATTACCTGTTACAGCCACAACTCTACTAAGTATCTGTTACAGTTGCCACTTTACTAAACACCACAACGACAAGGAGAACCTACAGCGACGATGGAGATCAACAGCACCCTAATTGAGTGTTACAACGGGAAGAACCGCGGACAGCTGCTCTTCAATCTCCTTATCCTGGATGCGCCGACACCGAGCAACCTGCCGATCTACATCAAGGAGCTCCAGCGCCGGGGGATTCATCACCTCGTTCAGGTCTGCGGTCCGACCTACGACAAAAGCATGGTCGAGCGGAGCGGGATTACGGTACACACATGGGCCTTCGATGACGGCGGCGCCCCTCCAAGCTCTGTCGTGGATAGCTGGCTGCGGCTCCTTCAGGCCGAGAAAACGCGTCTGGAGGAGGGCGAGCTGAAGACCCCGAGTACGATCGGGGTGCATTGTGTGGCCGGGCTCGGACGAGCGCCGATCCTCGTTGCGCTGGCGATGGTGGAGTTCAACGAAGTAGACCCTCAAGATGCGATTCTGATGATCCGATCAAAGCGCCGAGGGGCGATTAATCAGGTGCAGATGCAGTGGTTAATGAAGTATAAGCGTCGTCAATCAAACGGGAATTGTGTGATGTTGTAGAAAGTTTCCCATTTCTCTTTTTTTCACCGATACTCTCTCTTTAATTTTTTTAATTTACTAACCTTCACTTGAGATTTTTATTGTTACAAATTTTGCAATTAAATTAGCAAGCTAAAGGAATTCCTTTTTTTTTCCTTATTATTATTATTATTATTATTTGTACACTATGCACATGTCGAAGAATGGATGGGCGAGAGTTTACTTCGTTTAATTTCTACATGATGTGTATCTGCATCAGTGTATGCATTTGTTTCTTAAGACTCTTTTTTTCTCCTTTCTTATAAAAATTTTTCCTTTTCAATATTTGGATCTGATGAGTAGTTGTACCTTTGTGTTGTCGTAGACTGATGTCGGTCGAGAGGGGAATGCCCCCCAAAGGGACACTACGTAAAGGCAAGTATTAAACAATGTCTATCAAATAATGCGTATGAAAACGATAAAAAAGAAAGGAAGGAAAAATGACATTTTTGTTGAATGAGAACTATGCATAGCCTGACGTTTTTTGACAACCCACGCTTGCCTGTTAGCGGGCGCCGCAAGGGGCTATGCATAAATTATTTATTCGTGGAGCATCAAAAATAAAATAAAGTGTAATAAAATAAAATAAAAGGGAATAAGATGAACTCAATATAAAGGCAAATAACTGAAGTGCCTTTCTCAGCTTTTCTCGCATAAATATTTGCGAAACATTTTCCCTCCATCTCCTATGTAAATAGGGAGTTAGAGTGGATAAGAAAGGAAATAAATATAGATAAAGAGAGAGAGTGTAGAAAAGGCTTAGAATTATATTAAATGTGATCACACGAAGGGAAAAGCAATGTATCACCATCTGCATCACGTGCGTTCAGTGTACCTTTTTTTATTATTATTTATGGTTACCATTTTTTTAACTTTTTTTAGTTTGTTACTGAAGAAGAGTGATAAGTTCAAGAAAAAATATTTTGGTTTGAAAAAGTATGAGTTACATCTGAATTAATTTACCTTCTCCATATAACTAGGGGATGACTTCAGAATGAAAAAATAGAGACAAAGGGAAAGTCAAGGAAGGGAAAAAATGTATACTTCTGTTTCATATAATAATGAGTTTTAGGGTAATTTAAATAATCAAATTTTCGAAAGTCACTTTTACGTGGCAGTTTATAAGCAAATATCTCTGTTGTCAACCTTGAAACTATGAAACATCTCAAACGTAGTAAGGGTTGCACCTCCTTTTTTAAATCATTGCAGGGATTTTTTCACCCCCTTTTACCGTCTTTTTTTTAATCCTTTAGATTCTTATTTGCGGTACCACACCCGACCAATTATCGAATCCCCCAAGAACCCCATTTATCTTTCCATAACCTCTCGTGTGCGAGAGGAGGGGGTTTCATCCTAGTACGATCCACCCATCAGCCCCAACGATGCATCACGCGCTTTTAGAGATTCGCGATGGGAGGTCGGGGGAGCGGCTGCTGTGTTATGACGTGGCCACGCACAGCCGCGGGGGGGGCCCGCGGAGGCCCTTGACGACTTCGCGGAGGAGCTGCCCACGCTGCCGGTGGAGGGGGCCGGCGCCTACGACGAGGCGCTGGACTTCCTGCGTGGCGCGCAGGCCGCTTGTTACCG